CAGTTCAAAGATTCAATTAATCCTACACTGTATGTGCCTAGGGTCTCACCCTGGCAGCTGAGACAGGCCACCCCAACCGACTTGGGGGCACTACAGTGTCAGCCTTGTCAGGATAGGTCTCCCCAGACCGACTCACTGGCTGTGAACATTCTAAACTAACACGAGTCTCATTATGTGTCCAGTTTATGGGTATTACCCAGAAACATACCAAGGGAACATGAATCAAATATGTTTCTTTATTCATTTACAATAAACTCATAAAGTACATCATTCTGATTAAAGCTAAGGGCATACAAAACTGTCTAACACCCTTTAGTGTAAATGTTGGGCCCATTAAGAGCCCATAGTGATGGACTCAGGGGTTCTCTGTTTTCAGTAGTGAACTCGGCCAGGCCTTGTCACAAAGGCTAGGTTGAACCCATGTTGCTGATGTGTAGATCAATGTTAAGGTCCCACGCCATACAAAGAGAGCCAAGCTAGCCAGCATTAAAAGGTAGTGAGCCTGAAAGCTTAATGGGCCTAAAAATCCATTTCGAACTGGGTTAATTGGATTAATTAAATAGGGGCGGATCTAGGTTTGGATCAACTGATAAGGATAAGAGTATAACTTTTATCAACTTAAAGAGTCCAGATCCAAAAAAAGATTTGGATCAAGAAACTCCTAATTTGATTTGGAATAAGTTGATTTTGAACTACAGATAAGATAAGGGATTATCCTTACCACTTAAAGAGTCCAAATCCAAATAATGTTTTGGATCAGGAAAATCCTAATCAGATTAGGAGGTTGTCTCTTTAAGACTATAAATAGAGAGCAATGCAGACCTGAAAAAGACAAACAACACAGAGAGAAGACAACTCAGTTAGACTGATCTTAACTTCAGTTCTTTTTCTTCCTGCTCTTGCCACCCTACCCTATTCAAGCTCCAATTCTTGGATCTGATCAAGATTTGATCTTGATATCGTTTTTTGCTAGAAGAAACGATTTTGAAGTTGTGCTCACTACCCCATTCGATTCTTGTTGAAGAATCACAAGTTCTTGGTGAAGAACTACCTGTTGATCCTGCCTCATCCTAGGTTGTGTTATCTTCAGCGGAGGGAGGATTTGGTACAAGCCTTGGGCATGAACACCTACGTTGGGAGGAGATTTTTGCATGGATTCCGTATCAAGTATATCCCTCCCTAATCTTAGTTTCAGATTTGGTCCGGTTTGGTTACAAGAACGAACCTTGAAAATGCAGTTTTCTAAATTGGGAATAGGATTCTCGGATGGGAGTAAAGAAATATTTGAAATTTCGCCCAACCTTCCTATAGGGTCCGGCCATCCATCTGATGGATCTCCCATTCCTTCATGATATTTGATGAATTTGATTATTTGATGATTTGATAATTTTGATATTTAATGAATTTGATAATTTGATTTTGATGACTTTGATATTTAATGAATTTGATAATTTGATTTTGGTATTTGATATTTGATTATTTGATGATTTGATAATTTTGATATTTGATGACTTTGATATTTGATGAATTGATTTTGATATTTGATGATTTGATAATTTTGATATGTGATGAATTTGATGATTTGATATTTAGTATTTGATATTTGATGATTTGATTTTGATTTGATAATTTTTGTATTTGATGAATTTGATAATTTGATTTTGATATTTTGATATTTGATGATTTGATTTTGATTTGGTATTTGATATTTGATAAATTGATAACTTTTGATGAATTTGGTATTTTTTATCTTAGATCATGGTATTTGATTTTCCTTTTTATTTTTGGATTTTATAACCTTAGAGGAGGGGGTAAGTTGGGGGTGTATAACCTTAGAGGAGGGGCAAGGTCAGGGATAACTCTGTCCCGTCGTGAGCCCTTACATAATCTTGGTCTCACTTTAGATTTGCTGTAATTCTCGAAATTAGGAGGTGTATCAAACACTGAAGTGAGGTTGTTAGAGAACTAAAGAAGGAGAAGACTTTGCACTCATACGAATAGAAGAGAGAACCTACTAGCGATAGGATTCCTCGACCTATTGATAAGCTGGACTCCTCTTTTTATTTCTTCTTTTTTCTCTTTTTATTTCATTTTTCTTTTTTTTACCCTTTTTTGCCCTTAGTGCCCTGATCTGGGTTTTCACTAAACCTGGGTGTCGCCTAATTTTTGTGCATCGGAACCATTACTGGTTTTCGTCTGGGCCGACAAAATTAGATCTTGCCATGACTTGATACTTTTACTCAAAGCGCCCTTTCAGGTTTTCACTCTACCCTTTCAAGCCATGCGATTACTTGTTATTTCGTTCCACTCACTCCTTCCATCATTGCCACAAGGGGATGGGGAGATGCTTTTTTTGTCATCCGATTCCTTGTTCCTATTTTTATCTTTGATTAGGGAGGACTTAGTACTTGGACGAAATGTGGCTAAGGCTCAAGAGTATATGGGATACTAGTACAACTTGGCTCAGGAAGTTGAAATTCTTAAAACCTTCTTAATTTTTCCCTTTTCTTCCTTTTCTCTTTTTTTTCCTTATTTTCTTCTTCTTCCTCTTCTTTTTTCCCTTTTTCATTTATTTTGCATTACCTTCGAGGACTGTTAGTATCCAAATATTGGGACATTCAAGGAAAAGGTCACAAAGCTCAACTGTCTAACTAGTGAATTATTATAAATGTACTAGACAAAAGGAAAGGTAACAAAAAATGACCAAAGATGGCCTCCCTTCATTTTATTGATAAAAATTGATACATGGAATTGATTACAATTTAAGCATAGTACTTTTTCACTTGATCTAAGTTGATTGGCTCTTGGAGGTCTTCATCATCCATTCTACTAAGTATTACTGCTTCTCTAGATAACCTCCTTTTAACAATGTAAGGGCCTTCATAGCTAACGAGTGAACTTGCCCCTTGTCTCTGACTAATTCAGAATGGTTCTTCTGAGCACTAATTCACACGGCTGCATGTCTTGAGGCTATACCCAATCTGGGCCATTCACCTTTTATAGGCTTGAATATGGGCCATAGCTCTCAGTCTTGCTTCATCTAAGAATGCCAACTATTCATAACGTGCTTGGACCCAATCTATCTCTAGGATCTCTGACTCTAGTATCATATGCAAATATGGCACTTCCACTTCTGCTGGTAGGACTACCTCCATGCCATACACTAAAGAATATAGTGTTGCCCCAGTTGATGTCCTGATTGACGTGTGGTAAGCCAAGAGAGTATATGGTAACATGTCCTACCAAGACTTGTAGGTAAGAAACATCTTCTTTAGAATTTTTTCAATGTTCTTGTTAGAAGCCTCTACTGCTCCATTCATTTGAGGTCGATAAGGGGATGAACGCAACTGCTTAATCTTGAAATGATTGCAAAGGGCAGTGACTTCCTTTCCAACAAAATTCTTTCCATTATCTAAGATGATTTTGCAAGGTGCTCCGTATCTGGCAATAATGTTGGTCTTGATGAATTGAACTTTCTTAGTCATTATTGGACGGGCTATGGACATTGCTTCTACCCAATTAGTGAAATAATCAATGGCGACTAAGATGAACTTATGCCCATTCGTTAAAGGTTACAACAGACTAACCATGTCAATTCCCCATACTGAGAAAGGCTAAGGTGTAGTGAGATAATAAAGCTCTGAGGGAGGTGCATTTATCTTTCGATCAAAGACTTGACAAGCATGACGTCTCTGTACATGTCGACAACAATCCTCATCCATTGCCATCCAATAAAATCCCATTCGGAGCAACATTTTGGCCAACATATGTCCATTCATGTGAGGGCCACATATGCTACCTTGTACCAAATCCAACTTTCTTTGTGCTTCTTCTTCATCTAAACATCTCAACCAAGGTAATCCTGGGAACTTTCAATACAATATCCCTCCTACTATGACGAAATACCCTGCTAATCTGGTTATAGTTCCTTTCACCTTGGAATCTGCCCCTTCTAGAAATGCTTGGTGCTCCAAGAAATTTTTGATGTCATAAAACCACAGTTTACCATCAAACTCATCATCTTCTATTGTGATTGCTAGTATGCTACTCACGTAGGCAGGCTGCCTATCCCAACTTAAATCAATTGGTTCTACTGCTATGTTGGGAGGTAAGCACATGACTGATCCAAGGTAGGCTAAAGCATCCAAAAAGTGGTTGTCTTCTCTAGGTAGGTAATTAAAGAAAATGCATTTAAACATTTTGATCAACTCCTTGAGATAGTTATGATACAATGCTAGTCGTTCATCCCGTACTTCCCAGTCACCCTTGGCTTGACTAATGACCAAGAAAGAGTCCCCATAAATTTCCAATTCATCGATGCCCCAGTCTAATGCCATTTTTACTGCTCTTAGGCATGCATCTCATTCACATGTATTATTGGTGTTGGGAAAGTCTAGCATATAGATAAAGGAAAATGAGTGCCTTAGGGGGTCCACAAGGATCATTCCTGCTCCCCATCCACTTTGGTTTGATGCTCTGTCAAAGTATGCCTTCCACCTTTTCCCCACTTGTATTTCCAAAATGGTTTCATCTGAGAAACTTATTAGGATTGCCTCATACTCTAAGGTGGGGTTATCAGCTAAATGGTCTGCAATGGGAGACTCAACTGGTAACTACGAGTTTCTCAAACAAGTACTTGATGGGATCCACTCAAGAAATGAGTAACACCGAATGAGCTAATAGGTAACGGCGTAGCTTTTTACAAGCCCAAACAAGGGCTAGACATGTTTTTTCCTAGCATAGTGTTCCTTGCCTCATAGTCACAAAATTTCTAACTTAGGTAGTAAATGGCTCTTTCCTTTTTACCTGTCCCATCATGTTGCCCTAGTATGCATCCAACAGAATCTTCCTGCATTGATAAATACATAAGCAAGGGTTCCCCAGGCTGAAGGGGAGCTAAGACTAGTGGATTGGTCAAGTACTCCTTAATTTTGTCAAATGCTTCTTGACAGTCTTCATTCCATTTCACCGGGGTATTCTTCCTTAGCAACTTGAAAATTGGCTTGCATATTGGTGTAAGTTGCAATATGAATCTATGGACTATATTGCAATCTTCCCAGAAAACTTCCGACTTCCTTTTCTGTTTGTGGAGGAGGCATATCAACAATGGCTTTGACCTTTGCAAGGTCAATCTCAATCCCTTTTTGACTAACAATAAAGCCCAATAGCTTTCCTAATGATGCCCCAGATATGGATTTTTGGGGATTTAACCTGAGGTAGAATTTCTTGAGTCTTTCAAGGAGCTTCTGGAGGTCCTTTAAATGATGCTCTTCCTTCTTGGACTTGGCAATAATGTCATCCATGTATACCTCCAATTCTCTGTATATCATGTCATTAAAGAGTGTTGTGATTGCTCTCTGATAAGTTGTCCCAGCATTCTTAAGCCCAAATGGCATGACATTGTAGCAAAAGTTTCCCCGTGGTGTTATGAAGGTCGTCTTTCATTGTCCTCTATCATTTTGATCTAGTTATATCCCGAAAATCCATCCGTAAAAGATAACATTTCGTGTCCGACCATGTCATCAACAAAATTTTCAATGTTTAGTAAGGGAAAATCGTCCTTGGAACTAGATCTATTTAAATCCCAGAAATCCATGCACATCCTAACCTTCCCATCCTTTTTAGGTACTGGTACAATGTTTGCTAACCATTTAGCGTAGTTTGCCACTTCTAGAAATCCCGCTTCAGTTGCTTCTTGACTTCTTGAATTTTCAGAGACCACTTTGGGTGGAGCTTCCTAAGCTTTTGCTTTATTGGTTTTGCATTGGGATATATGGGAATCCTATGTACCACCAAGTTGGTGTCCAATCCTGGGATGTCTTTGTAGGACCATGCAAACACATCCTTAAATTTTTTCAACAACTTTATTATGTCAAGCTTTTGCTTTGGAATTAAATGGCTCCCATTTTTACCAACTTTGGGTCATCATCAGTTCCAAGATTAACTTCTTCCAAGTCGGCTCATGGTCTTCTTTCCTCTTTCCATTCAATCTGATCAAGGATAATTTGAGGGATCTCCTCCTCAAGTGGTTCCTCCTCTATTCCCATAAGAGCAAAGTCTGACTCAAGGTCGAAGCCATAGGCTGGTGAGATGGGTTCGGGTTCCTGTAAGATGAAAAGGATGAATAAACATAGGAATTGGAATTGGACCAAAAGGAGATTTTTCAAAAAAAAAAACGGTTGGTCCCAAGCTGTGAACCATGGCTGCCTACATACCCTTTTGAGGGGGATCAAGCCATTCGTAGTTCAACAAAAGGATTTTCACTTCATTTGGATCAATGGAGTACAAAAACTACTTTCGGGATTGAGACACAAGGTAGAAAGCATTGACCCCCTAGTTTGAGAATTACAGCTTAACAAACCCCAAGAGAAAGGGCCTCTAGGCCCAAGGTAGTTGGAGAAGACATCCAGTTATGAACAGGCTCTTGCAATGAGACAATTGACTGGGTAGGGTCTTCTATGAATTCACCTTCTACTGCACATACATCTCCATCCAAGGATTCCCAAATTGCACGATCCTCGAGCTCATCAATACCTCTGGTCCGATTAGTATTTCCACCTTGCCCCAATCGATGGAACAACAGGGCATGTAGATTAACTCAGTATCCTTTGACGATGAGCCGATGTCCTTCCGATCTTGGTCTTCAAGAAAAAGCAGTAAAATGTCTAGGATGTCAAGGGGGGTTTCAGGGCTGACTTGAGGGGTTGGTGTTGGCTTAGGCATGCTTGCTGGGTTACTGGGCTTGGCGAAATGGAGTGGTGTTGATAGAGGTACACTTTTCTTCTTCCCACCTCATGGGCCAAACAGGTCATGTTTATTTGGCTTATAGCCTACTCCAAATCGAGGGAGAGATTCCTTGGCCTTAACAAGGTTCAATCTTCCTTGTTGCTTAATACCTAACCCTTTGTCAGGGTCGGACTTCGTATGAGCCATCATTCGGAGGGGTGGTGCTATCCTTCCTTGAAATTTCTTTGCCTCTTTGACCTATATGATGGAATTCACTTCTGCAAATTGGTAAGAGAAGAAACCTATCCTCCCTCTAGGTGTTGAACTGATGATTCTGTAGCTGGTGCAATCTAACTATCCCCAAGGATTGCAATGAGTTCATTATCATAGACCAACTTTACTCTCTGGTGGAGGGTAGATGGCACGGCTCCAATAGAATGAAGCCAAGATCTCCCTAATAATAGGGTGAAAGATGCTTGAATGTCTAGAACTTGGAATTGAATCTAATAAATAACCTTTCCAACAGTCACATTAAGTGTTACATCTCCCAAATTTGGACTAACTGAATTGTAAAAGGCCCTTAATGCAATGGATCTCTTCTTCACATTATGTATACCCATTCCAAGTGCTTGTAGTGTCCCAAGAGTGCAAACATTTAAACCAGACCTATTATCCACCAAGACAATAGGGACCCTCATTCCTTTGCAAGCCACTGTCATATACAATAGAAGATTGTGAGTAACACCATGTATTGGGATCTCATCATCTGAAAATGTTATTACTCAAGGAGCCAAAATCATGTCGACCATCTATGCTAGCCTTTCTGGTTCTATACTTGGGAGGACAAGAGCCCTCTTGAAAACATCTATAACCTGGTTCCTGTGATGTTCTGAAGACAATAATAGCCCAAGTATTAAAATCTGTGCAGGTATTTTTGCTAGCTGATCCACTACATTGTATCGAGACTTTTTTATGGCCGTTAGGAAAATATCCTTCTCCTTAACTTTGCTCTCTTCACTTGGCTCCTCCCCTATCTTGGCCATTCCTTTATCCACTGCCACAATCACTTTCCTTGGGGGCAAGAATCTTCTAGATCTTAATAAGGCTCCATGTTCTGGGACAGTTCAATCTACTTGTGCCACCACAAGCTCAATGTAATAATTCCATGGGGTCTTGGATGAATTTTCTCCACAGAGTTCCAGGTAGGGAATGACAAAAGGTTTCTATGGGAGGTTGTCATCGAATATAGTTGAAGGGGTGAAAGGGTTATTGGTAGTGAAGGGATGAGAGATCCCTCATATGGATGGCCGAACCCTGTAGGAAGGTTGCGCGAAATTTCAAAAATCTCTCTCTCTCCCATGTGGGAATCACATTCCCTATTTTAGAAAACTGTATTTTCAAGGATCTTAAAACCAAACCGGACCAGATCTGAAACCAAAAGGTAAGAGAGGGATATACCTGATACGGAGTAATAGTAACTCCCAATGAAGGTGTTCATGCCCAAGGAGAAAACCAAAGACTGCTCCCACTGAACATGACACAGTGTGAGGTGGAGCAGAATCAGCAAGATGGCTCTTCAGCAATAATGTGATGGAGGGCTGGTGAGCACGACTTCAGATTACCTTTTCTACCAAAAGATAATATCAAGAACCTTTCTTGATCACTCCCACAGGTGGAGATCGAACTGATAGGGGCGGCAAGAGCAAGAAAGAGCAGAAGACAGGAGCAGTCAAACTGTAGATTCTTCTTTCTTTGTAATCTACAAACTGAGTATTGTGTTTTGGAGGTTTGCCCTGCTCCTCTATTTATAGCCTTTAAAGAGAGCATCTCCTAATCCCATTAAGAGTTTCCTAATCCAAATCTTGTATTTGCATCTGGACTCTCTTCAAGATAAGGATAATCCCTTATCTTATTTGTTGATAAAGATGAGCCTTCCTAATCAAATTAGGAGTTTCCTGATCCAAATCTTTATTTGGATCTGGACTCTTTGAGTGGATAAGGATAATCCCTTATCCAATCTGCTGATCTAAATCCCAGAACCGCCCCTAATTAATAAGTCTTATTAAGTCAATTTGAATTGGGCTTTAGGCCCATTAAGTCTATGTGCTCACTTAACCTCCTAACTGCTGCCCAGTTGGCTATCCTTGTATGGCGTGGGACCCAAACATTAATCTACACATCAGCCACATGGGTTCAGCCCAGCCTATGTTACAAAGCCTATCCGAATTCACTATAGAAAACAGCGAACCTCTGAGCCCATCACCATGGGCTCTTAATGGGCCCAACATTTACACTAAATGTTCATTGGGTCAAGCCACCTTATAAAAACCCAAGGACTGTGAGCAGATGCAAGATTAGCC